TTTAGTCACATAAAATGCCTCCTGCAAAATGTGTAGATAACACAGAAAAGTACAAAGAAGAGAAACAAAAGCATGTATCAACTGTTAACATTCAGTTTATTCCAATATAGTCTCTTTTCTGTGCTGTGCATATGTGTATGTATTTAAAAGGAATAGTAATGGTATACTTTGAAAGCTTGCATTAGAGTGATCATCTTTACATATCAGTGAACACTCTTGCAGACATGATTTTCATGACTACAAGGAATTGTCTCAAAGACAAAATGCCACTAAGTTCTTATCCAGTGCCTTCTGTCTTACATTTAGTAAGCAATGTTTCTTGCAAAGGTTACCCACCACGATAGAAAATTTTATGGATATGCCTCCTGCACACATTCCACCACAGATGGCATTTGGGGATCATGGCACATTATTGGAAGACATCTGAGGTCAAGAGTTACTCCATTAATAAGATAATCATAATATCATGGTAGATTGCTCTGATTCTACCATTGGCACTATTTGTTATAATTAAAAATCATCTCACAAGACACTATCTTTAAAAAAAGAAAAATGACTGAAAGTATGACAAGTGTAGAGTACCTGCATAGCAAGTACAGGGATCTGAGTTCCAACTCCAGTACAAATGAAAGAAAGGAAGAAGAAAAGAAGGAAGAAAGGGAAGGAGGGAGGGAGGGAGGAAGAGAGAGAGGGACGGAGTTAGTTCTTGGAATAACATTTGTATAGCAATGAATTTTACCAAAAAGATACAAAGCAGTCTGAAAAACATATTTATTTTAATGTAACTGATGTGAGTTATTCATTTCATTAGTACTTGCTGAGTGCCTGAAATAAAACCATTCTAAAAGGACAATACTTCACTGCTTGCTTGCATCCTTCCTTCCTTCCTTCCTTCCTTCCTTCCTTCCTTCCCTTTCTTTCTCCCCCCCCCTCCTTCCCTTCCTTCTTCCTTTCTTTCATTTGTAATGGAGGTGGAATTCAGAGCCTTGTACTTGCCATGCAGATGCTCTACACTTGAGTCATACTTTCAGCCCTTTTGATTCTTTTTTTTTTTTTGTTAGTCGTGGGGCTTGAACTCAAGGTCCCTCAGCTCTTCAGCTTAAGGCTAGCACTCTACCAGTTGAGCCACAGTACCACTTCCAATTTTCTGGTGGTTTATTGGAGATAAGAGTTTCATGGACTTTCCTGCCCGGGCTGGCTTTGAATCATGATCCTCAGATCCTCAGATCTCAGCCTCCTGAGTAGCTAAGATTACAGGCGTGAGCCACTGGTGCCGGCTTGTTCTTTTTTTTTTTTTTAGATAGTGTCTTGCTTTTTTTTTGCCTGGGCTGGCCTACACCATGATCCTTCTATTAACGCTTCCCACCTAGCTGGAATAACAGAAATGTGTTACCATGTCCAGCCTTTTCTGCTAGTCTCAAACTCCAATAACTCAGTTCCTGAGTAGCTCAGATAATAGGTATGAGCTATGTGTGGTTGAGGATGTTTTAAAAGTTATTTTCATTAGCATACACAATTTGTACAAGAGGGGAGGGGTTCATTGTAATGTTTCTACACATGAATAAAATGTATCCCAATCAACTTCACTTCTTCCATAACTCTTACATACCTTTTCCCCACTCCCCACAGTTTCAACAGGTTTCATTTTTCTGTTTCACACATACAAATAAACTCCTTGGATCATTTTCATCCAAATGGATCCTCTTGTTATCCCTCCTGAAGGTCTACCCCACTCCACCTGAGCAGAGCCTCTTTTACTTTCCTTTTGTTTCTAGTGTATATTAATTGCACCATAGGGTTCATCATGGTATTTCAGACATGAATATTATGTGCACAATCCTCACACATAATACACATTTGAAGCCAGGATTGGTGGTGGATGCCTATAAACTCATCTATTCCAGAAGGCTAGGTAAACGTAGGCAAGTTTGGAGAAAACATTGAAAAAGGGCTGAGAATGTAGCTCAGTGCTTATTTAGCAGGTGGTAGGTCCTGGGTAGCACCATCAACAGCAACCAGAAAAAAAAACTAAACACACCAAATTATAGAAAGCCAACAAAACAAATGAATGGTATAGAAAGGTAAAAGGGCAGTAATGAGTCTTCCTATGTCTCAGGTTTTCTGTCTCCACAGATCCCAACAATGATTATCTTCTTACGTATTCCTCTGGAGACATGAGGGCCAAACATATACATATAAACTCATATTTCAAGAAAATAATTTAAAAAATCATCATAGGCATACCCAACTAGAAGGAAGTTCTGCAGAGATGTAGCAGAGCACTTGCTACCCATTATTAGCCTGTGTATCCTTTGCTTTGTACACTGGTTTGTATTTTGATTTTTTATCAGGTCATATTATTTGGAGATTGTTCCATGCCAGACCATACAAATTGACTACATTGTTTTCAATAGTATAATATATCATTTTGTTTTGCAATTGCTAGTCATGGGCAGAGTTCACACAGCCTTTCTGGTGTGATAGTCCTTCAAGTTCTACAGAGGGCAGAGATCAATAGGGTTGTAGCTCTGTAGCAGGCATTCTTAGTGTTGTACCTTAACAGCAGTGTTGAAACTCAGTGTTGAAACAGTGGTAGGCAATGCCTATTTAGTGTGTAGCTCTACTGCCAGCTGCAGTCATTGTAGCCTTCTCTGCCTGGTTTCTTGTCTGAGGAATTGGACGACTTTTATACAGAAGTTGAGAGGGAAGAACTTTATTCAGAAAAAAAGTATCTCAGGCTGGGAAGGTGGCTCAGTGGTAGAGTGCTTGCCTTGCATGCATGAGGCTCGGGGTTCGATTCCTCAGCACCACATAAGCAGAAAAAGTTGGAAGTGGTGCTGTGGCTCAAGTAGTAGAACACTAGCCTTGAGCAGAAGAGCTGAGGGACAGTGTCCAGGCTCAGAGTTCAGGTCCCACAAAGGACGGGGAAAAAAAAAGTATTTCAATGGAAGCCACAGTAGCTCTGCTCAGATGTCTGCTCTAGTCTACCTAGGTTCTCCGTCTTCATCCTAGATGGCTGAGTACGGGAGTTTTTATATCTGATTGGTTTTCTTATTATAATTAGGTGTTTTGGAAGGTGATATTTAATTGGTTGGAGTCTCATAACATTATGGTTTATTGTCAATTACCAATCAGGCCTCTTCTGCAAATCCCCCTAGGGTCATGGGAAGGTTGTTGAAACTTGAAGGGTTAAGGAGGTACAGAGGCAAGATAGTTTGTAACGATGTTTCTTTTGCATTGGGATTTACTTGCTAGGCCAAGAAGGATACTGTCCAGGGATCATAGTCTGAACTAGTTTCCCTTTCAGTACTGCATTTTGACCAGTTCTTAGCCTCTTGATATTGTAAACATTGGGCCAACAAACATCTGTGGCACAAATATCTACACAAGGAATTGCTAGGATTATAGCATGCACATATAAAACTATGGTCAATGTTATTACTTTCCTTCCAGGTAAGTACTGTTTTTATTCCCACCAACAATGTAAATGAGGATCTATTTTTTAAGCCCAGGCTTGTTCAAATTTATCAGCCCAAAAGATGAAACCTGCACCTCATTGATTTAATCTGCATTCAATTTAAGATTAAAATTTAAGTTTTGAACACTTTGTACTAAGTTTTTCTTTGTAACATACATCATCCATGAACCTAAACAGACACAGATGCTATTCGAAGATGATAAACTGGCTAGATTAAATCCAAAACAAAAGCTGTCGAGGACAGTGATAATGTTTGATCTTTTTTCCTTTTGTGTGTAGACCCTTTCTATTTCCACTAGGTAACATGGGAATTATAAATTACCAGAATGTGTGGTGTGTTCTAGACCACAGAGATGCCGAACCTGAGAGAACCTGGGAATGTAATAGATAAATTTTGTAGCAGCAGCAGCAGAGAGGCTTACAGAAATCACCCATTTGGTTCACTACTTTTGATATCTGTTTCCTTAATTTCAAGGATTGCTGACTTCTCTGGCCTAAGAGTATGCTGGGTGTAGGTAGCAACTCCATGGAGTTAAAAGTGTTGTAAGGGGTTTCTTTCTTTCCTCTGTTCTGGTCTACTTCCTTCTTCCCTCCCGCCCTCCCTCCTTGTTTTGTAGATGATAGTGTGCCGTGAAGCATACTCTGTTCGCAAATTATTAACTCCTCACCCCAATCCCCTTCATTGTTAATTTTGAGGAACTGGATGAGCAAAACAGAAATATGTATGTTGCTACCTTAAAAGCCTCAAATCAGGCCACTGAATGTTCGACCTGGGCACCTTAAATCGGTAGAGAAAAATACAAAGCCTCCCTTGCTTTGAAAAACGAGCATCAGTACTGCTCTGGCAATCCTAAAGTTCTGCATTGTTGCAAATATATCTCGATATATATCGATACAGAAACGGATATGTGCATACACACACGCACACTCATGTATCCTCTACCTTCATTGGACCCCATCCCATTCTTGTCTCATTTATTAAGTTTCGGGTGTTAGAAAGCTAGAGATACAACATAGGTCACCCCAAGTGCCTGGCACAAATACGGATCTGGCCCTACGCCAGGGATGCACGTCGTGTCCTACCCCTCCCTAATCTGGAGCAGTCGTCACTCTAGAAGCTTTCCCCCACCCCCTAAATTCCCAGCCCTGCTCTTTGTGCTGGCCTGCTCGGACTGCCCCTTGCAGCTGGTGATTCGGGATCCGAAACGACGCGGTAATCCCCCGCGGCGGTGGCCGGCGTCAGCGTCCCCTCCCTCTTTCCCGCGCGCCCGGGGCTCCCCCGCCGCCGCCCGGGGACGGGCGTCCGGCCCCCTCCAGCGCCCCCTCCCCGGCGCGTTGCGGCTGGCGCTCCCCCGCGCCCCGCCCGACGCTGCAGCTGGGCCGGCGACTCGCCATTGGATTAAAAATAGCAGCTTCCCCCGCGCTCCCGGCCCTGGTGTCCGCTCCCGCCCCGCGGCCCGCTCTCCGCGCCCGCCCCGGCTGCGCTCCGGTCTCCCGCACAGCCACTCGCCCGCAGGCGCCGCGATCGCCCATAGACCCCGCGCCCGGTCTCCGGCCCCGGCCCTTGCCGGGCTCGGCTTGTGCGCGCGCGGCCATGCAGCGCCGGGGCGCCCTGTTCAGCATGCCGGGCGGCAGCGGCAGCAGGAAGATGGCCGCAGGAGACATCGGCGAGCTGCTGGTGCCCCACATGCCCACGATCCGCGTGCCCAGGTCCGGGGACAGGGTCTACAAGAACGAGTGCGCCTTCTCCTACGACTCTCCTGTAAGTGAGGCGCTCCGGGGAGGGAGGCATTGCCGGCGGCCCGGGGCGAGCGCGAGCCACCGAGCCCCGCGGCACGTGAGGCTGGGGCCGAAGATGCGCTGCGCCGCCCGGGACCTCCTCCCCGCGCGGGAGCGGGCTCCGGGGCGCCGCAGTCCCGCGGGCACTGTGCGAGCGCCCCACGGCCGCGGCGGCCGAAGACTCGGCCCCCCAGCCAGGCAGGCTTCCAGCAGCTTGCCCAGAGCCCCTCCACTGTCTGAACGACAGATGGAATCAGAGAGTTAGTTCCCTGTTCGGAGCTCCACAGTTCACACCGCCCGCGTCCTCTTGGGGTGCGATCGGGCAGGCGGCTAGGTGGCAGAGGCATGGTTCCCCACCCCTGGGTCGCACACAGCGTTACTCTTTCTGGAAAGGTTAGTTTTCCCCAGGAATTCCCACGCCTGGGCAATTGTGCTGTCCACGCAGAGAGTATCTCCCACCACTTCCCATCTCTACCCACTCTTCTTGTCCTTAGAATGTCAGAAGAAATCTCCACTCGGGCAGCAGAAATAGGGGACCACTGGATTGTGCTGGGTTGCCTGAGCCTTTCTCCCTTGTTCTTCCAAGTGAGTCACTTCGGGCTGACGAGCACCAGTGTAAAGGATTGTAAGTTCAGTCCAGAATCGTGACCTCAGAGACCCGAGGGGCAAGTTTTAGAGACATCACTGTGTTCCAGCCCGAGTAGTCAGTTGGTGGAGTTTTCACCTAATTGTATATAAACGTGTACGAAGCATAAAGAGGGTGAATGACCCTTTCAAGAGTCAAAATGGGCTTCAAAGTGACTCAGCTGTCTGGCGTTTATCATGTCATTTTGAGGACCAGGTTATTTTTAGCCTCCCACTTTGGGTCTCATGTGTCACCCCGCATATCTCAATGCACTGGGAGGTGCATGGATTGGAGGGGAGGCGGAGCTCACAACAATAGTCTAACACGTTTTATTTGTGGAAGATAGTTTTGATGTGGGTAAAAGCCCACAACAAAACAACAAAAATAACCCAAACCAGTGGAAAAATTCCAAATTTTCCTTTATTACCTTGTGGGATGAGGTTAGCTGTTTTTTAAAAAAGTATTTTTGGTATACTTTTGGGGCTCCATAATTATCTTTTCTATGACTTCCTTTTCTTCTATACTATTAAAATATCCTTTGGAGATAAAAATCTACAATTTGTTAATTGCCTGTTTTTAAATTTAAAAAAATCTCTGAAGAGTGGAGTGTATTTAATGTTCAGTGTAATAGTTCACACCTGTAATTTTAGTGACTTAGGAGGTTGGGATGTGAGGAACACAGTTGGAAGACATCCTGGACAAAGTTCATGAGACTCTTACTTCCAATTAACTACCCAAAAGTTGGAAGTGGCTCAAGTAGCAGAGCATTAAGGGACAATGCCTGTGCCCTGAGTTCAAGACCTAGCCTTGGTATAAAAAACAAAGAAAGAAAGAAAAAAAGGAAAGAAAGAAAAAGAAGATACTTAGTGTATTGTTCATCACACTACTTAAAGTGTCCTGGTAGCCTGAGATCAGCAGTGCCATTATATCCATTTTATGCCATTTTCAGAGGGTGTGGCCAGGTTATGTTAGGCAGGTTGTGTCTCAGAGTGGAAGGAATGTGGGTCTTAAAAAACTTCACAGACTCAATTCTGGGAAGAAGAGTGTGATCTGTCTTTTGGGATAGCATAATGTGTACTATGGGTAAAACAATTTACCTCATGATTGGTGTGGGTTGCTCTTGAAGTTCTGCCTACAAACTTATTATTGAATACATTTACCGCATTATCTAAGAAGATCTTTCTATGTGCCAAACACTGTTCCAGAAGCACGATGTCCACTGTAAAATGATGAGTTCATTTCTGTGGCTGTAGTTTCTTGGAGGAGGCTGGGATTATTTATAAGGACAGTGAATCAGTGTATCTCAATGGAGGATGACAAAGAAAGCTTTTATAAACATCATTTAAAGCACAGTGCCTGATAATGTTACCTTTTCCCTTTGTGGTACTTTCTTTAACATTATGTTGTGAATTCAACAAACATTTCTAGAGTATCAGAAATTCTGGTTCCAGCTCACACATGCACGGCTGTAAAAAAGAAACAGAGCAAAGTTTATTGATATCATGCATAGCCAAAACAAATTCACAAGCTTGGTGGGGCTGTGGTAGAGAAAGGTAAAAAATGATGAAGTGCAAAAAAAAAGTTCCTGATTTGGACACTTTGAAAAAGTTCATAGATAAAGATAGGTAGAAAATAAATGACACCATCATTTCAGGCAAGTGACATTACATATGCAAACACATGAAGTACAAATACTTCCTTCTTATTTGTTTGTAATGTCTTTGGAAGAAAAAGATTGACTTGGCAAGTAAGAGTTAAGGTCAGAATCCAGAAAGTGGATAAAGGGAGCCATGACTTCTGAAAAAAATGTTAGATTTTGATAATTTCTGCCTTTTTTTTTGTGAGTGTGCAGGAGGTCAAACCCAGGGCATTGAAAATGCCCTAATCCATCACTGGGCTATGCCCACAAAACTTTGTCATGATTTTGTAGTCAGTTATGGAAAGTTACTTTGAAATAATGCCTCTTGGTATGAGTTCTAGTATTGGCCTTGAACTCAGGGCCTTGTATTCATGCTTGGCTTTTTCACTCATGGCTGGTGCTCTATCACTTGAACCTTTTTGCTGGTTAATAAGCCCAAGCTGGACCTCTGTCCTCAGATCTCAGCCTCCTATGTATCTAAGATAACAGGCAGGGACTACCAGTTTAGTGTCATTTAAAGTAGACATGGAAGAAAACTGAAGTCACCAATTTTTTGTTATATACCCATTATGTGCCAGGCACAGTATGAAGAATGGCTGTTTTGCACCTTTATAGGATGTGAGTAACACATGGAACAATATATAACTAATTGCAGTATCCTCCATTATTTTCACGTAGGAAGAGCTTAATTTGAGGAAGAATTTTTCTCCTTTACCTCTTTGGCTTCAGCCTGGCCTGCCTTCCCACTTTGATGTGTAGTTTATCTCTCTGTGACTTGGTTCATCTCCAGCGGTTTCTTATGTCCTTCCTAATAGTGCTGTTTTTCAAGATTCAATTCAAAGAATTCTTCCTTTGTGAGTCATTTCCCTATTGCCTCTTTACCCCATTAAACTCCATTTATATGAAGTTTATAAACATGTCTGTCAGAACCTCAGCAATATGTTTATTTGCCTGTTTCTACCTTAAACTACAGTCTTTCTGGAGAGTGGACATTTATTCCCAGAAGCTTGACCAGTGGCTGGAATAAATATAATAATAGGAATTTCATGAGTATATGAATTACATGGTAACAGGTTCTATAGATGCTGAGCTTACAGACTGTGGGCACATTGGGAAAGGACTCAAATGGAATTGTCATGTAAGATGTGTTGATTTCAACTGTGGGGGACAAATGTGATAGTAATGAAGAAACTAGCAAGGTTAGAATTCTAGTTCTGTTATCTGGCTCTAACTTCTCTGGGTAAAAATAGAACTTGATTCATTTTTGGTTTTTAACAATAAATGAATAATACGTAATGTGTACTGGCTAATTAGTGATCTTACAATACATATTTTCTTTAAAGAAGGAATAGCCAGGTACTGGTTGCTCGTGTCAATAATCGTAGCTACTCAGGAGGTTGAGATCTAGGGTTGAGGTTCCAAGCTAGTCTAAGCAGAAAAGTCCATGAGCTGCCTATCTCTAATTCCAATAAAAAGCTGGAAGCAGAGGAGTAGTTCAAGTGGTAGAGTGCTTTCATTGAATAAAATAACCAAGTGAGAGCATCAGATCCTGTGTCCAAGCTCCAATACTGGCACATGTGTGCATGCACACACACACATGGAAGTAAGAAATTAAGGAATTTTCTTTACAAGTTGTAAGCCCAATAAGTTAGGTGTCAGACTTTATGTAAAGTATTGCATGTGCTCACAGCCTTTATGGACCATCATTGAAATCTGTTCTCCTTGTTGGTGGAATTTCTCTTTTATCCAGGTATATTTTGTCCTAACCCATTTCTGGTGGATCTGGTGAGGCCAGTCTGTGGCTTTTCAATGGGTAGGACTCATTTCCTTTTTTAAGATCACTCTTCCTTATGATAATTTATTGATTATTTATTGATCATTTATCATTTATTTATTTTCTCACTCTTCCCTTTCTTCTGACTTCATCTTTTCCTCTGGATACATGCATTGTGTAGAATCTGTGTCATGCAACAGAACAGTTAGTTATACTCTATCTTCTATGGTTGTCTTTATTTTCTTTCTTTTGCAACTCTAATTCTTATTTTTAAGGCATTTAATAGGTGAGGCATGGCTCTCTCATGTTGATTATATGCCCCCTGGATTGTGAGTTGAGTGCTTGTCTATACCTTATCTTAGCTTGGCCTTTTAGACAAGAATAGGCAGTTTTATTTTGGAAAAGTATCCTAGGGAACAGAAATAGTGACTGAGGGAATAGTGACAAAGAGAAGGAAGGAATGAGTGAGTTACAAAGCTGGTGTTCACTGTGTGTGCCTGGTGCTCAGTCTTTTGGGGCTCTCTCTGGAGTATTGGGATATACCTCAGAATCTTGCACTTGAGATAAGGAAGAGAGGAATGCTTATCCATCCCATCCCAGCTGCCTGGGTGGAAACACCCTCACTCCTCAGGGTTGCATTTGTGCCAGGAATGCTGAGTAGGATTTTCTAGAATTCTAAGACCAGCAGCTGTAGAGAGGTGAGAGATCCTAGGTTATGTGACTTTGTGAGAAGAATGCGTGTGAAGAATGCCCACTTACTTCTTCCCTTCTAGCATAAGGACTATTTTCTAAGAAGGAGCTTTTTTCCCATTCGTTGCAGTTCTGAAGATGGTTTGGTGATGTTGAGACGTCATGGTAGGATCTCTGTCTTTCTGGAACTCTGCCAAACTATAATGGATAGGGCCTGGTAGTCACGACCAGTTTAGATACCCACCAGGAAAGCTT